AGTGATATTGTTTGAAGCCAAATTGGTAGGTTGGTATATGTTTTCCGATCAGTCCTTCGAGTCTCTGCTTTAGTATGTGCTCCAAAACTTTGCACAGCACTGGGAGTAATGTACTAGGTCTGTAGTTTTCCATTTATGTACCGACTCGTCCATTTTTAGGTATAGGAAATATAGTCTGTAAAGTTCTCTCTTATGTTTTATAAGTGTAAGTATGAATTTGGGTAGGGTGTGTCGGTAAAAAACATTTTTTATTTCAAGGGTGAATTTTCCTGTTGCTAGTGAAAGTTGTTGTATGGTTTCAATTGAGATGGTCTGTGCTTGCGATTGTATGTGTTGTTTCACTTTGTCTGTGTCAGTCTTAGTTAAGTTTAGCTTTTTGTCTCGTTTCGGTGTACTGAGGGTAGGTTGCCTATGTTTTAAGTCTATGTTAAATGTTATAGCCAGATGGTCCGATCCAAGTTCGTTAGTTGGGCTTATGTTATTAATGATGCTTGTTAAGTTTGTTGTGTGTAAATCAATTAATACTGTAGCATATACATTTTTCTATACGAAAGATGTTCGATTACCTTCAGAACAGTGGCAGCTTTAGTATATTCTGGAACCAAGTGCTGGCAATGCCCACACCATGGGGCAAAAAATTCAACTATCCAAACTTCATCTCCTTGAATAACGAGCTTGTCGAAATTGCTAGGAGTTAGTTCAACAACATCTTCTCCTGAGGGGTACAACGCCCATGTGTTGCTCACAAATAAGGCAAAACCTGAGAAAAAAAGACAAATGTTTACCACCACTTTCACAAAAGGGGCCGTGTCAGCCGCTTTATTGTGATAATGTACTTACACAAGAACTTAATCATGTTTGAATGTGTTATTCGTGTGCCCCGATTTTTCCAGAACTTATTTTGAGAACTGTTTGACAATTTTTTTATTAAATCATTCAAATGCTTAATCGGCTTTCCTTGACGTTTACGATAAGTACCAAAGACACGTAAATACTGAAGACCTGATGATTAAAATACGAAATACGTGGGAGAGGATAGATAGAAAATCACGAAACTGATAATAGGAGAGAGAGAGATAACGTCAATTTATTTTCGTGGTTATTTTTTATTGGTTGCGTGCCGGTCTGGGCCAGGGCAAATGACATGCTGTATTGCCAAATTGTGGACAAAGTCGCAATGCAGGTGCGTAAAGCGACGTGAGCGTTTGGTGCGTCAGCCTCAATTTTTTGAAACTTTCCTATTTCTTTTAATATTGTATTTCTTATTCGAGTCAGGATTCAATAGAAACATTTTCAAGCAAATATTGTTATTAAACTTTTATTAAATACTCTTTGGGGGATTGAGGCTATGGTTTGAGGGTAGATGAGTATGGCAGGAATTTGTTAAGGTCGTTAAAGTCTATATATTAAAACCGTAGGAATTGAAAATAGGTTTCGCCATGGAAAAGTGAAAAGCGAAAAATATAGGGGAAGCATGAAAATAACTAGCTCAGAAATTAATAATCTAGTAGAGATAAAGTTGATAAGCCTTTCTAAAAACCTAATGATGTGGCATCGTCGCAATCAAATTCATCTGTTTCATTGCTTAGCAACAGGAAAACAACAACACAATATAGAGGTTATCCGCGAATATCAAACATAAACATATACAATTTAATTTTGTATGTAGAGAATACCGGGGGCTTTTTCGACGCGAACATGTTTCTGTATTTGAGCAAGAAGGTAAAATAATGAAACTTTGTATTTACAGAAAATTCAGTGCAAAATTTATTAACTTTCAGATCGCAATTCCAAATAACACAAAGATTCATTCGTTAGATTGGAATAAGCAAGATGGTTACATAGCAGTTGGAGGTGATAGTGGCCTTTTAAAGGTTTTAAAACTCGACTCAGGTATGCACAGAATTCTAGTTATTCATAATTCATTCATAATCAGTAGTCAGGTTCTGACAGCACTTAAATAAAAACTTATAACGCTTAACCACCGACCATCTAGAATTAAATTAAGCTGGTTTTCGGTCATGGGGTTTCTGTGGACACCTAGTCCCTGAATTTTCAATTATTTCATCCTTGTTAGGTGGCATTGTCGAATGATCTTTTTAACATTCGTCAAAGATTAATAAAAGCAACTTGCGGCTCCCAAATCCGAGAAGGCGTATATCTGCGCTTCTTGATCGCTTTCAGACCCTGGCTACTTATTTTCTTACAATTTTGCACATACATAATACTTCTTAAAGGCAACGACGCCGGCTTCAAAACAAGGAAATTGGTGGCTACCAGTAATTTGTCCATGAATCAAACTCTTGAGGGCCATAGTGACACAATACAAGTTCTAACATGGAATGAAATGCATAAAAAACTTACTACCAGTGATTCTAATGGTGTTATAATCGTTTGGATGCTTTATAAGGTATATATATATATAAAGTAAGTTAACATTATTATTTTAACATATGAATTAATTTTAGGGAGCTTGGTATGAGGAAATGATAAATAATAGAAAGAAGTCTACAGTTGTGGGCATGTCTTGGAGCAGTGACGGTCAAAAAATTTGTATAATTTATGAGGACGGTGCAGTAATTGTAGGTTGCGTAGGGGGTAACCGCATCTGGGGAAAGGAATTGAAACACACAGCTCTGTGTGGAGTACAGTGGTCTCCAGATGGAAAGCTTCTTGTATTTGCCCTAAAAAATGGGGAACTTCACCTCTACGACAACCAAGGAAATTTTGTGATGAAAATCAACATACTATGTCATGATTCGCAATATGACCCTACACCTATCATAGGACTTGCTTGGTATAATGGCACAGGCGGTTTAATGCATTCGATGTGTCCGACATTAGCTCTATGCTTTGAGAACGGAAAAACACAACTTATGAGGAATGAGAGTGACCCAAGTAAGTTATTTCTATTTACGTACAATAAGTGACACCATAGACCATTTTCATCGGAGGGTTTATACAGGGTGTTTTAGGTTACATTACCTTTTAAATATTAAAGATTGTTTTCAATAAATAAAGAAAATTTACGAATTTGCTATGCGTCTCTTGCAATTAAATCGAACATTGACCAATTGGCTACTTTTAGATCCAGTCATATTTGACACAAAAATGATTGCTGTACATTGCAGTTGGAATCACAATGGTTCCCTTTTAGCCATTTCTGGAAGACAGTTTTCTGAAGAAAAGAAAGTGAATTTAGTTCAATTCTACAACCCTTTTGGCGAGGTAAGCAATTTCCTAAATATGGTATTAATTGTTGTTGTTTATTTAAGCAGTTGAAATTATTATTCTGAATTTCCTTTCTAGCATTTGAGAACACTGAGAGTACCAGGATCGTCAATTTCTTGTTGTGTATGGGAAGGTGGATCATTGAGAGTTGCCTTAGCTGTTGATTCTTTTGTATATTTCGCAAATATTCGTCCTGATTACAAATGGTGCTACTTCAAGAAAACAGTCGTTTTCACTTCATGCAAGGCTGGCAGATCTGGTATATGTATTACATTTTGGGACACTGCTAATAATTTGGTAAGTCGTCTCATGGCTTGCTGCTTGATGTAGATTAGTTTTCAATTATTAGCTTAAAAGTTGACTTATTTGAATGAGACGTTTGCGGTTTGTTAAAACATTTATCATGCTTTACTTGGACCTGTAACATGTGATTCAGCATTTCCGCTCTTGCTTATGTAATATTCAGATAAACCCAGTATAAATGATTGATTTTTGCCTGGCCGCACTCGAGTCAAATATCAATTAAGTCGGGAGACAATCAAGTGCACCACAATTTATGTGGATGGAAAAACCAGTCCACGTTGACCGCGTTTATAACTGGTACGAAATTCGATTGATTTCGCTACACGTCGAAGTGAAATAATCCCATCCCATTTTTCCAATTTCCAATAAACTTTGCTTATTGTGAAAATAAACTTGACAATATTTTAAGTGTGGACGTGCTTAATTTCATCTCAATTTATGGTCGATTTTTCGATGGCAGGTCCAAATGAGGCGTGCCGCAGTGTACATGTTTATTTTTTATACACCAAAAACAAGTCGGTTTGAGATTGGTCGGTTGACTGAAGACAATAGGTACCTTTACACTTGCGTTCTTTTCGCGCGGTTCGGGAACGACGCGCGAATCGCGCATTCAAGTTGGCGAAAATCGTGGCCATCCAGGAGCGTGTAGAAAAAAAAGCTTGTGAGTATAAATGCATAATTTGTAGATTTCGTGCGCGAATTGCGTGGCTCCTGGAGTTTTAGAATTTCTATAATGATTGGCCTCAAAATATACAAAATTAGGCAAAAAAAATTAAAGTGGTTCTTTGTCTGGCTGCGTTTATTGAATTTGACGGATGAAGAAAAGAAACTGGAATCTTGACGATTTTAAAAATTATCTTTGTATGGAGTTCACAGTCCAAGCATTGAAAATTTTGTTGGATTTAGTCTTACCAAATAGTTCTAAGCAAAACACAAAAATGAGAGAAAGCATAAGCGCCGAAGAAATACTGGTTGCGACTTTGCATTATTTGGCTAACCGACGCTCAACTGGATTATCCCAGAAGAATATCTAAGATTAATTGTCTCATTTAGAAATCGTTTATTAATTACGAAGTACATTTTTTACTGTAGATAATACAATTGTATTTACAATAAATTATTTATGATCCGCATTGTGTTTATTTACTTACCTTACATCACACGCAAAAATCACACGCGAAAAGCACGATGTACAAAAGCTTGTGCAAAAGTTTCAAGTTCGTTTCCGCAATGCAAAGCCCGCTGGTTTTAACGTGCAATTTTCCCGTACGTCGGTGTTTTTCTTGCGACTCGAACGTAGCCCTCCAATCGCACACGATAGAGCCATAGAACAAGACTTATAGAGCTGATGGATAGAGCGTAGAAGGCCGGCTTGATGTTGGACCTTCCGACAGTTTTGTCACCGTCTTGTTGCACTCTTGTCGCGTCGGGTCTGGACACTCAATACTAAACTCGATTATGAATTAAAAAAAACCAGCACTTCATTGGGGTTCCCACATTTGAAAATCGAGTGCTCCATGAGAGAGAGAAAAATTGCAATTTTTTCAGTTTTATTAACTGACTATAATTTGTTTAGATAATTGACATCTTTTCCGGTCGAATTTAGGTTCATGCTACTTTATATTTTGGGAGAACTCAAAAACTCTCAGAGTCGTGTTTTTCATTGCATTGACTGCAGTGTTTAATATATTTTTTTAGTACTTTAGAGTCCTTCTAAATTATCCCCTCATGATTTGTGAGTGAAGATTTCTTTGTTAAAACCAAATCTACTCATGAAAGGTCATTTTACTATTTTTATCAGATTGCCCTACTGGTTTAGGAATAGGGTGAACAACCTCTTGATTTTGTTTTATAAAACTTTTTGTTCTATAGTGTGCGAAATGATTTTATTTTAATGTTTTTTTTAACACGAATACAAACATTCTAGTATCATACGAGTTGGGTGAACACGTTATATGCAATATCCTCATACGGAGATCACTGCGTTATAGCCACGCAGCCAGATGTAGATCACGCTGGCAAATATGGCTTGATACTTTATAACACTTTGGGCACACCGGTGGATGGAAAGTATATAAATATTGAACCGGTGGCTGTAGTAATGAATGCATACCAAGTATTTGCTGCTTCGCGAAATAACTTTATTGTTTGGCATTACAAAACTCCAAAATCGATAACAGGTCAGTCTTATGTTATTTGATAATTGAATTGTCTCATATGGGAATACCTATGTTTAGTAGGAGTAGCTAGATCGAAAATGTTTCACATCGACGACAATCCAACCGGCGCTGTAGACATAATTGAAGATCTTGATAGTGCAACCAAGATTCCAGTAAGCTGCCATCAAACAGTTGATCCCATTTGTTGTCTTACTTCGACAGACACTTGTCTTGTTATTGGTAGAGAATCTGGACTTCTGCAGTATTATGTTTTACCACATATTGTTCTCACCAATCGCTTTAAAATACCTACTAGACCTCATAAGATTACGATTAATTGCAATTCTACGTAAGTGTTCTCTCACTAAACTGGCATTACGCCATTTTATGTACCCGCTTTATTTATTTGAAGAAAGCTCTCAGTCATTGATGTATCTGGAGTCATGACGGTTATAGACATTTCTGCGGGCACTGGAAGGCCGTCTGCTAACGCGGAAGGAAATCAATTGGAAAGAAAGGATGTTTGGGCAATGTGCTGGGCATCTGACAACCCACAGCTTTTAGCTATAATGGAAAAGACCCGGATGTACATTTTCAAGGGCATGTATCCTGAAGAGCCTGTAGCGTGTTCGGGTTACATTTGTAGTTTTAATGTGGGTGCTTACTTTATAATTATCAATTTTGGTATTCGCAACTTCACTTTCAGGCTCTAGAAGTTGAAGCAATACTATTAGATGAAGTTATAGATAATCCAGAAAAACCCACTAAAGACTATTTAATTAAACTGGAGATTAAAAGTCTTAGAGATACTAGACAGTTGATAGAGAAAGTGGGAATCAATGAAGCAGCTCAATTTGTTGAGGACAATCGTCATCCCAGGCTTTGGTCGGTTTTTTAGGCGTAACATAAACCGTCGTCGTTTTCACTGAAAGCGTTCTTTTGATCAATTCATCTAATGCTGTTGGGGCTTCTTGGTGACCGTGAAGATAATTATGTGATAGGTGTTGCTTTCTTTATATTGGGTTGGAAAATAGTGGTATTTTTCTGCCACTATCTATTGACCGATCAACCCAATATTAAGAAAGCAACACCTATCACTTTTATTTTATTTATTACCTAATAATATTTCTAGGAGATTGGTTGCAGAAGCGGCTTTAAAAGAAATGAATTTAAATATGGCAGACGCTTGTTTCGTTCGGGCTAAAGACTACGCAAATGTGCAGTTTGTGAAAAAATTGCGAAGTGTTAATAATGAAGCTATTCGTGAGGCTCGAGTGGCAACATATTTTAGAAATTTTGATCAAGCAGAGAAAATTTTGATTGAAGCTGACCGAAGGTATCTATATTCTAATTAAGAATTTAGTTTAGTCATTTCAGATGTGTAATTGTGCTTAAGTGGTTGATGTGCGTATTTCATTCTTATTTTTAAGCGATTTGGCCTTAAATCTACGCCAAACTCTAGGGGACTGGTTTAGAGTTATACAAATTTTGAAAAATGGCGCTACCGCTCCTGACTACCTGTTAAAAACAGCGTACAACTCTACTGCAGATTATTTTTTTCATTTCAATAACTGGTAATTCCTGGAGTAGAATTGACTGTTTAAATTAGTTTTGAATGCAACATATAATTTAAGGACATCAGCAATTGAATATTACGAACTGGCCAAAAATACCTCTAAAATAATAGACTGCTATTATTATTTAGAAGATTGGAAGAATTTGGAAATTATGATTGATCAGCTTCCGGAAGGAGATCCTATATTAAAAAAAATTGGTGATATGTTTGCGTCAAACGCTGTACACATGGAAGCAGTAAAAGCTTACACAAAAGTAAGAAGATATTTTTCGCGTCATTTCTTAAAGCAAAGTTTTTGGTTTCACTATTTCCAGGAAGGCAAAGTAAAGCCTGCTATAGACTTATGCATTGATCATAATAGATGGGATGTTGCAATAGATCTAGCCAAAAAATATAACATTACAAAGATATCAGATCTGCTGGTGAAGTACACCAATCACTTAGTAGAGAAGAATCAAATAATGACAGCAATCGATATTAATGTTCAAGCTAAGTTTTACTTGCAAGCTGCGGAGCACGCATTCAAGGTATTAGTAGATCGTTTTGTATTGGATTTTTAACAGAAGTGGCCTTTATTTTTTCGTCAAATTTGTTTTTTATACATACATGTATATGTATGTACGTGTGTAAACAGCACGTTTTTCCAAAGGAGGTTAATAGTTAAAATTTTTGAAAAATTAAGGTATTCAAATATCTTTGCCTAATTCAAACGTTAAGTTAAATATCATCACTTGCACCCCTTTTCTTAATTAATTATCTCAATCCTAAAAATCACACCCAGGTATTAAAGCTGTGCCTGACTCGTATATATTTGAAACAAAATGATAAAAATGTAAACACGGTAAATAGCAATATTTTGTAGTTGGCAAATATGGAAGCAGCGAAACCAAATAGGAATTTGACAAGAGTTAAGAAACACTATGTATACGCCGCTCGATTAGTAGAAATGCATAAAAGTTTGAGTCCGACAGGTCAGATTAAGAACTGTTTTGAGTTTAAACCGTATCAGCTTGTATATTTTTTAGGAGAAAATCCAAATTATGACCCCCTTCTATATGATAACGCTTGGCGAGGTGCAGAAGCATATCATTACTTCATTTTAGCACAACATCAGTTATACAATGGAAAAATCCATGATGCATTATGTATCACTTACAAACTGCAAGATTATACTGATTTCGTCTCTGAATCCGAGATATACTCTCTTTTAATGCTCACAGCTTGTCTCGACCGATCTTTTGAGATATGTTCTAAAGCATTAATAAAGCTGAAATCATTGGAGAATGTAAGTAGAAATTAATTAAGTTTTTGTGAAATTTGGCTTTTGTCGTTTTTTTATGAATATTTGCTGAGCAGGTTTAACCAAATTTTGGTTTATGTTATTGTTGCTGCTTGGTAAAGAAGCCAGATCTCAGTAACAAAATGGCACACATGTATAGTGCGGTTCAGAACAAAATCAATGAAATCGAACAAGGCCTTTACCCCCAATTGAACCCTCCAATTTTCCAGAACAGAAGCAAAAATTCCTAAAATCGGGGCTCTGAAGTTCTCAAACACGCTATTTGTGAATAAACGACACGCAGGATCGAACCGTGACCTTTTCGATCGCTCATATCAATAACTGTCTTTCATTAAAGAAGTTTAAATGATCTTCAATTCCCAAAATGTCAATCAATTACCTAATTAACTTTTCAAGTTTTTTTTTAAATTAATATTCTTATATGCTTTAAAACTATAATAAGCAATGATGTCGGAAATCAAATAATATTTTCCTTGTAATTTGTACGCAGATCAGTTATTTGATCTGTATGTTTCTGAAATGAATTTAAATTTGTAGGTAATTCAAGCTGATGCAGTTCAATACAGCAAACTGGGTTGGGATATTTTCCGGCAAAACGAACCAGTGAATATAAAGAAAAAGTTAATACAGTGTGACAATTGTCAAACCAGTGTTCAAGATTGGTAAGTACTTGTAATTGTTTTTATTTATTTTTTTTAGTGTAGGTTGGGTTCTACAGGCGTTCGTATAAGATTCGAAACGATTAGATGGCACCTTTTATTTGCGCAATTTTTTTAAATGTTTTTTAATATTAGGCATGAAATAACGTAATTTAACGTCAGCACCGGATGGCGAGCAGGATCTCCATCCGTTCTCTATTTAAAGCTAAAATTGTTCAAAATTTCACAATCGGATCAGTCAGATACTTATTAGCTTTATAAAATGATTTTCTTCGGATGCAGGCTTAAGCGCCAGTTAATTTTGAAGCATGGTTAAATGCTATCGACGCAATAAAAATAAAACACCAAAATTGTAAAAATATCAGAATTCGCCAATCGTAGTTTTGCAGAAGAACAGCTCGCAAATTTCTATATTATTTCCACCAATTTCCTGTGCCAACTCTTACGCCCCATAGCTGTCGAGATGCTATCGCTTCCTGCCTTTATTCAGATTCCCTGCATATACAATTTGATAAAAGGTGATTTTTTAAATTAATTGGTTTAATTAATTTTAAACAATATCTAATATTTTTAAAATAATTAATAAAGCTGCAAAGTTTTAAAATTAACTTCAACATTTTTCGAAAACAATCGATTTAATGCATCTACAAGAATAACAACCGTAAAAAATGTGCAATCTTTCAGCCACGGTACAACTACTTGGAAATCTTGGAATATTAACCATGAACTTTTTGAGTTTCTTCGCAGAAGCTCAAATCGAAAAATTGTATATATAGTTTGAAGACCTCCAAAAAATACTTTCTAAACACCTACGCCAGATATTTGCATATCAGTATGAAAGACAATGTTTATATATACTAAATAAACTTTTTGCGGCTTTTAGTTTAAATTAGTCAATTAATTTTTACAATTATCTTTCTATCTGCTCATATACCTACATTTTAAAATATTGATCCCCATACAAGGTTTTCCAAACTCGATAGTCAACTTAACAATAAACATTTCTTTATCAACAACTCAATTTTTCTCCATATGACGAGCTGAGTCTTTTTACTTTTCCTCGTATTGGACTAACATTTTACGCAAACACTTTCTTTTCAAAAAAAGTCTAATATGCCATCGAGTGTGCGTAACTTTGATTATTTGTAATATTTTGAGATCTGACGAAAAAGCAGAAAATTACCCATTTAAACAACATATTAGATAACAATAGTTTTGTCTCTGCAGGAACACTGCCTGTACCAATTGCAAAGTACATTTTCCTACTTGTGTTGCTACTGGACTGTCTATAGTCGAGGCGTCTATTTGGTCTTGCAAAGTATGTAAGCATCCAGCACTTCGAAAGAAAATGGAACTACTAAACGCTTGCCCATTATGTCATGCTAAGCAGGAAAGACCATAATCTGGCATTATATCATTAATCATGTTTTTGTCGTTACATTACTGTTTTCTTACTTCTTAATGAAGATTTGTTCATTGTTTTCAAGTATTATGGAAGTACTTAAAGTTATCGTAGAATTAAATGTGAATTAAGAGTTTATTGTGCAAATAAAATTTATTTGAGCACTTCAAAAAAGTTGTTTATGTTTTACATATCAAGAAATTGCCTAGAATGTTTAGACAAGGCAAATATTCCAAATTATCCATCCTCATCCGGCTATTATTCCTGATTGTAACTGATGCAAAAAGATCGCACTGAGCACGGGCGCACTGAAAAACAGAAAAAAAGCGTGCGATCCCTTACACAATATTGCAGATGGATGGGCAGCAAAGAAGCAAATCTTCTATTGTTATCAAACCACCCAGACAACTTTTTTCGTCCTTGAAGTATTTCCGTATAAGCTACTTAACAGCAGCAATTCATAATGTTCTATTCATAACAAGCGAATGTTGGGGAGAGGGATTAATTTCGACGCAGTTCTGTACCGATTACCTCAAATTTTAGAACATGAAAGGTAAACTTTTGAAAACTTAAAAGAACATTGAGTACTCGGAAATCCCCGTTAGTAAGCTTTTGTACATTGTGTTAATAAATACCTGTACAAGGTCATACAAGGGAGTGAAAAATTATGAAATATTACTAATAAAATCATGTAAATATTGTTGCGTCGATGATTTGGGAAATGCTGATTAACGCACCGTCCAGAGCTGGTCTCTTGCGCTCTTAATTGAGGGGGACTCCATTCTAGCTATTAACCCCGCGAAAACCCTTCCATCAGCGCCGAGGAGGCATCTAGCCTTAATTTTCGGTCATTTCTGTCGTTTTGTGCCTCCATTTTTTCTACTCCTGCATTATCATTGTATATTAAAAGGATTCCGGAAGTGTTTTGCATACTCCCTCAGCATGACCGAAATTGGTAGAATTTCATATCAGTGAAGGTGGGATCTTTACAAACTGTTTTGCGATAAGTAGTGGCGGTGTCTCCTTCCAGCACTTCCTATACTATTAGGGATTTCGCTTTTTGGTTTATTTTGGAATTTAATTATTTCTTTTTCGACATTTTTTAATGTTAATGATTTACTTTGTCGTACAATGCATTATTTGGGAATTTCTGAGTAGCGGTGGAAAACCAGGTGGTACTTTGCCGGATAACCAGACAGTTTGGACTTTATATTGAAATAAAACAATACACATGTGTTTTCAATTAAGGTGTGAATATATTTCCTAGGATATGTATTACTTTTTAAAGTGACTCTATATTAAGATAAGCACATATGAATAATGCATAAAATGCAGTTTCTATCACAAAAACATCAGTCCATTGTCAGAAACACAACGAGTAACTAAATATTTTTGGTGTTAGCGTATGTTATTTATTTGAATTCTATACTATTTTACTTGCAGTACAACAGTAGGTGAGATGAACATAATACCAAAATGAATAGTGTGACTTAATTAGATAAATATCGAGTGTAGATGTGTATGAATAATGAAAAATAATGATGCCTTAAATAATTTATACTTAGAACACGTTTGCTTATTAGGTAAACCCTCACATTTCAGTCAAAATATATGTTTGCTCTAACAAATGAAGGATTTCAAGATAGCTGGAACTTGTTGGAATTACTTAAGTTCCTAATAATTTGTTTAGCTGTTAGGGATTCTGTTTATTCTAAATATAACCCACTGGTTTCCTGGGTACTCCATTTGCTTGATTCTACAAGAAAATAGATAGGTACATATATATTTATTTCATAAAAACATTCTTCAAAGTTGTTTGTAAGTTGTAACAGGTGCAAAGTTAGTTACGATTAACACAGAGAAAAGTCCTTGCTTGCTGATCAGAAGAAAAAATAACATTAAATATTGGGTGATTGAAGTAAATAGCCTTTGAACTCGCTTGAAAATTACGTATGTGATTGAACGAAAAAACTTCAAGCAGAATGTAAATAATTAACATTAAATAAACTCAGGAAATTATTGATCTGTTATAATAGAGTTATAATAAAGTCTATGACAGCATTAAATTGCTTTGGTTTTAATTAGTTCAAATCAGCTGTATTAAAATTGGTCTCGTGTTTTCTAAAAGCTTACCTGAGCGCAAACATTTTCCCACCAATATATGTAATAGGGCTTATCACCTTCCATTAACCTCCACCACTTTGGCGCGTTGAATAAAACATATTCCAAGAAATTTCTTTGACTAATGTATGTGTATACATAGGTATTGCATGCAGTTTTTGAGAAGAAAAATTTCAAGCAAAAAATGTATCACAATGTTGTTGTGTTGTCTAAAGTAATAAGAAGGTACTTAAAATATTCACTGTGGGTTTGCGTATAATTTCATGCAAATATTTCGTCATTTTGCACTGGAAGTCAGAAAGTTTGCACTAGGACCTGCTCGACTATGAATGAATCTACTAAGACATAAAAAGGATTTTTATAGATTTCGTATTTTTCTATTTTGAGTTGTTGACCCATGAGTAAAATTTGATAAACAAATTATCGAATGGAGCGAATGAAACGTACGAATCATTCTGGAGGATATCACAGAAGCTTAAGCTCAATGTTGTAGGCATTATGTCCACAATTTCTATGGATAGTGAAAATAAATATACCTTCTTCGAGCACACTGAATTCTGAAAGACGCACAATATATGTACTATTCACAGGCCAAGTTCAGAGGAAGTTTGATTAAAATTCATAATTTCGTTCACTCGATATTTAAAAAAACATATTTTTGTTGAAGAACTTTGACCATAAATAGTAGATGAGTCAGACATTTTTTTAAATAAAAGTTAGATCAGATTGCCTTTTTTTGAACCAAAGAATGTCGCAGTGTTTTTTATCACGTGCTTATTATGGGACATCCTGTATTGAATAGACGTTATGAGTGTAACTTAAAATTGTTCAAACGAAGAGTTCTCGTATATTTACTGATTTTTGAACTTTTCTAGTAATCACACACGTATGCATAGTGATCACATACGCAAAACTAATGTACGGAATCTTAAACATTTTTATAAACTTAAACTTTATGTCCAAATACTTCCATCTGAAAGCTTCTTCGTCAAAGCGAGAGCAACACTTTTTTATCAATTTTGTATCAAAATAAATGGACTCATTAGGTAATATAGATTACCTAATTCACCCACTAGATTGCAACAGAGTAGCAGTCAGTGTATTTATGATATTATTTATTRTAATGGGTGTAATGGAAAGTTAACGAAAGCATAAACACGAGCCAATCGAAATGCTCTGTGCAGAAATCCTGCCTACTGCCGACCAATTACAAACGCGTTAGATATCACGCGACCGGTTTAGCGTTCTTACAAGATTCTTCCGTTGCAATAAATTCTGASGAGGAGAAGAGCRAATGCATAATGACAAAATGGTTTCCAATAKWATAAATTTTGAGTACCTATGGTATGTCCAATGGTAACATAGCACGTAATTCAAGCTAAAGCYCAGTTYTTGTAGGGATAAAGCTTCGCTCGACTGATGTAATACTGCGTCCAGACGTGACGAGCCGAGCCTGAGCCGCGGCAAATTCTTTTGAAGTTTCGTCAAAACACCGACAAAAAATGGATCGTCTGTCGGTGTTTTGACGAAACATCAAAGGAATTTTGCCGCGGCTCAGGCTCGGCAAATCTACCCAGATTTCCGACAAATCTTCTCAGCCAGGTTTCCCTTTAGTAAAGTTGATAATTTAATGTAAGCATTGCCTTGATTATATGCTATAGAAAAGAAACTCTCGGAGTAAATAATCAAAGCATAGCATTGCAAAAATGCATTATTTGAATTTTGCATTTAGTCCCATTTTTTAATAAATAAAGAGTTGAATTTATTGTAATTCTTTATTTGCAACCAACAAATCCAGTGCTTTTATTTGGTAATGAGTTAGCGTATTGAGTACAATTCTTCCCCACTCATAAATAAATAATATGTATAATATAGATGATATAATAAATAATTATAAAAAGTCAGTCTTTTGAGAGTTAAAAGTAACTATAAATATTGAACGGTACCTTTAAATAATACATAAACTTTGGTAGGCACTTAATTTCAAAATGTAATTCAATCAAATTAACCTGTAATATTTCCGAACTGGGTTGTAAAATATTTGAAAGGATTTTATCTAAAACTTTAAAAATTATACTGTGGCCCGTGCATGTTACTATTAGCGATAAATTCTGCTAAGCAATAGCAAAAACTTCTTTAGACAAGCTTTATTTCCTTCAAAATAGTACCAACAGCTTTTAATACTTATATATTCCACTGTTATGAATTACGAGATATTATACCAATTACTTAGAGAAAGACTTGGAATAGTAGATATATGGAAATTAGGATTTTTCAAGCATTATATTGTTCACTCAAATGCGTGATGCACAAATTAATTTTCACAGATCATGCAACTTAGGAATTTGGTCTTTCAAATTCGGCCAACCAATTATCTTTCAAATATTACCAGTCAGTTAAACATTACAAACAGCTGTGTTTCAAGCGGTTATGTACGTTTAATAAGAACAGTTAAAGTTGTGAAAACAGTTAAGCACACACATTTTATGCACTAGGAGGTGCAGGGTAAGAAGGCGGCGAAATTAAAACCGCATTAGGGGTACCTCCTCCACCAGTGGTCGTAGTGGTAGGGATGCTGCTGGTGGATTTTCTTCTCTTGAGAAAGCAACAATTTAGTCCTAAATTTCCCTTTTCAATGTATCGAAGCAAAACATAAACAAAAGGATCCAAAGTAAAATAGAAGCCCATAAACATATCCGCAATATTTGAAAAAATCTTAGATGCAACTGACGTATATCCAAGTTGTGATATTGGAACTGTTATCTGAAATAATTGAAAAATGTAATTATATTTTCAATTAAGCATGTATTCGAACATACATTTCTCAATAACGAGCATTTAGTTACATATCATTAATAAGGACATGGCTTTGCTAATATATCTTGTCCTAAAATGCTCATTTGGATTTGGATGCTAAGTAAAGAGCTCAATCACGTACCTTCATAGAGTCTAATATGGGATTTATTTAAAGAAAGTGTTGACTTAACACAGCAATGTGAAAAGTGAAGAGGAAAAATCCAAAGTTTGGAAAAGGCAAACCATAATATACTCAAAATCGAATTGCTGTCACGGAAAATTAATTATCTTGCTAATTAACGGCGAATATTAAAAGCGATGTAGAATACGGAAGTGATATATGGAGCAATCGCATACTAAGCTTAATGAAAGCAATTATTCATTAACTAATGATTTGTTAGAAACCCCATAACTCAAGTTCTCGCAAGTTATTTTTATCAAACATGTTTTTTATGGCGAAATGGAAAATATTCATCTTCGTTTTTATTTTCCATTATCGTAAGTGTAAAGTTCATGCGCAATTCCTTATTTATTACCCTAAGGTAGCACATTCTATGACCGTTTCATCAATCATAAAAACTTAAAATCAAACTAATATAGATCTACTTACAATTTGTGGTCCCCAACAAAGGCAAAAAATTACGGAAATATATGCCATTAATTTGGCAAAAGCCACTTCCTCGGGTGTTTGTTGATGCCGTGAATTTCCTGTTCTGTTCACAATTAAGGAACGACTAATTCGCCTGATCAAGATTCGATTTTGTGATCTTATTTTGGACAATTCCAGTACCACTGCCACATTACAAAATGCAATGCTAATACACACTAAACAACCTGCGGAAGAAGATTAAATAAACCCGTATTACCTCATACATCAAACTTCAAGATAAAATAATGTCCTACCAATTGCAAAATAGAGCCATGCATAGAGTCGATCTTTAAGTATTTCAGCCACTTTGTATCTAAGGCAAACTTCTTTATCAGGGTCATAATACAGTCCAAATCCCAATAAAGGTGCGTACGTAAGAAGAAGAGCTCCCAACCACAAGCAACATAACGTTCGTTTGAGAACGTCATAGGTCACTAACTAAAACAAGATTTCAGTGATTAAATGAAAACGGTGATTAATTCAATTAAATCACAAAAGTAGCTTAAAACACTTCAACGTATAATTTATGCTAAAATGATAAAACTATTTTTGTTTTATGTAAAAAAATGTAACTATTCACTATATTATTTCATCTCGCTTTCGTGTTATATGGCATCATATTATTTATCTCAAAATACTGCGGCTTGTCTATTTCTGTTCAAGATTTCCTAATTTACTCTCGTTTGCGATATGCAAATTTGGCGAGTCATGGGTAGAAATTTACCAAAATGCGAAATAATAATCTTTGTCTTTATTGGACAAAACCGTATTTGGTGTGTCAATTAAGAACTACGTATCATAAGATATATAATTTTGGCTGCGTGGTTCTAAAAGCGGTATTTTACGTTAAAAAAAATTGGGCTATAAATGTGATTTTACCCGTTCAAACCATCATCTGCTTTTCTGTCTGCTTTTACAGTGCCCATTCAAAATGTGTTTCTCCATTAATTATTTGACCAACTACAGTACACTTAGGTATCCAGAAGGATTGAAATTATTAGGAATGAGAATGGGACTAAATTGATAAATTCGCACAAAAATTCGTGAATATCCATCAGCATAGTCAGGCGGAAAATTTGAGGGACTAAATATTCACATTAGTATGTTAACGGTTAGACTATAGTCTTGATTTTACAGTTACAAGAACGCTTGATCAAAATTCCAAATTGATCGGGTCATTTGCATTTTTTGCATTTGACATTCACCACAGTGTAACCAACACCCTAAACAGAATGTACATCTGCATTTAAGCAAAGTAAGTATTTTTAAGATACAAATGCAGTCACAGATCAAACGTAACTAAGTTATAATAATAAGGTTGTAAGCTCGACATATTGTAACTCGTCGCTTTGAAATAGATATTAAAAAAAGTATTTTGGGTGGTACCAAACTTAACTGGCGCAGTCCAAAACATTTCAAAATCGAATGGAATCGACAAAAATCGCGAATCCATTGAATACCAACAGCACATCGATTGATGAACCACAACACCAAGTTTTTCCACCAAACAAAATGAAAATTTCCTCACTTAGGTTCCTTAGACTAGGATAAAAACATTCGATAAAGCTCATTCTTCTGTGACTTCTAATGTAAGTGCTCATTCCGTTTCACCAATTCAAAACACAAATTGATTTTCGCTTTTTAATTAAAATTAAGGTACTGTAAATTTTCATTGCAACCCTAATTAAAAATTCCAATCGTAGTCAACACGGAAATCTTTTTCAGTAAATTGATTTGTTGGTTTAGTAACTAAGCAGTAGAAACAAAAAAAAGATACAACAAATTCATTATTAGGAAAATAAGTATAATTACAAAGTATGGTAACTCATCGTGACATTGGTCACCTAAGTTTTCAAGCAGACAATATAACACCTTTTGATGGCAACCCTCGACTGTTGCAAAGATGTATTTTTTTTTGCGAAAGTCTGATTAGAAATTTCCAAACTCCCGATGAGAAAAATGACTTTATCAGCTGCATTGGTTTCGATACAGTAGTAGAAAAAATAAGATGCGTAGAAGCAGAACTAGTAGGCTCTAGGTTCGAACTAAATTCTTGGATACTGGCTTAGTAGGCTGCGGTAGTTTGTGAAAGGGTAGTGAACTTCTTGGGTATAAAATGGAGGATGGGGCGTCAGCTTGCAAAAACCTGGTAAGAATTATCTCTAATCTATAAATGTTTTAGCTTGAACTGAGTTTAGTTTTCCGACAAACAACTGAAGTTTTATGAATTCTTTATATTTCTCTCTTTTTGCTTTGCTGATTTCAAATAAGATTGGCTTTGGACAGCTTTCCTGCTGTTGTTAAACACATTTTATTATTTCGTTCCAGGTGGCACTACGCAGCTTTCGGTAAACTTAGCATTACTTTGCTCCTGGCTGCCATGTACATGTAGAACTTTTAGTCCCATATTCCCCCAGCTATTGGTTCTTTCGTAGTGTATTTGTAAACTTTGCGAATATTTTGGACGGCTTTATATTTTTATATTAAGCTCATCTGAAGCTTGTCTCCAACGAACCGTTCAAGATATGCAAATATGGGTTCCAGTTTTTTTTTTCTTTGTTAAAAAAAGTCGCGAGTTTTAGTTTTGTCTGTTTTCTTTTAAATTGTGAAATCGACTGAAACATGACGCCACCTTTTTCGACGTTGTTCAAGAACTATTTGAGTCACAGAGTTCGTTTTTATATCTTTGGATGGAGAATTGGTAATTCGATTCAGTTAACAACGTGCCTGAGTAAACTCTGCTATATTTGTCACAAAAAGTTATACAAAATTTGAATATCAGACATTTAAGTGCAAGGTTACCCCACAATTTCATTTATAAAAAAATGTCTCCTATATATATGTCATTCTTTCGAGTTGCTACTGGCTTTACGTTGAAAAGTATATAGATACGTAAAAGCGTGCATTTTCAAATCAACATTTACGAGGCGCGCAAGATTCAGGATTTCATTTCAAAATATAGATACATATTAAAATATTATAAAAATTGCAACATTTTAATAAATTATGTAAAAATATTTCTTCCAGACGCTACAATTAGAATTGTAAAATCAATTCAATAAAAATTACTTTCCATAATTTCCTAAGAAAAGTGCAATTATATGGTTACTAATTGGTGTTACGGCATTCTATTATAAAACCGTTTACTAATTAAATTATTTTCAATTTTCCCTCAAATAATTTTGGTGCAAGTATATGGTGCAAGTATATGAATTCCACAATCGGTGAAATATCAAACTTCTATGAATTAATGAAGCACAAGATGGTTTAAACACATGTTGTAGGTAGTCGTTAAATTATTTTTACGCACAAATCGTCACATTAATTATATACATATTCTTTTCTCATGACAAGTAATGCCGGATCAAGTTTATTTTTCCATCCAATCAAAGTGCTATAATTGTAAATTATGGTTATACACATATCATTTAAGTAATTTTTCGCAATGGAAAACAGAACACCTCATATCAACAACTGAATTATGCTGATTCAGAGAAACTAGAGCATTAAAATATAGAGTTTCAATTGTATTTATCACACATATACCAATACAAGGCTATAGAAAATTGATAGTCTTTTCAATACGTCGTAGACATTGGAAAATATTGAGTAGATACTACTAATGACGGTTTCCGACTAATTCAACTTAAATAATAGCGAATTAATTTTGACAATTGGTATCACTTATGACCATTTTCAGCGGCATTTACAATTATATCTTTTTACCTTCTAGTGTATTCTTCTAAGTATTCTTGTCTCATGTCGGCATCTCAATCTAGTTTCGAAAAAAGGCGATTTTTATTTTCAGAGTTTAATATTTTTAAATTAATAAACTATGACAATTTAAAAAAATATTGCGAATGACAACCTCCTGATGGCATGCACGCATTGCCAAGTCTCACCGTGCTTTGTGGTATTCTGAACAAAATTCTGCAAGAATGCATCATTTTTGAACAAAATTCTGCAAGAATGCAGCATTTTGTATCTGAAAAATTTGTGAACCAATGTTCATATTAACTTATTTCCATATTTTGCTTAGCGGAATCTCCTCTATTTTTTGGCACCACCACTCTAAAATACTCTGTGTAACCTATTTAATCGCTTTACATAGACAAATAGTTATTCATAATATTGATAAAGTAAATAAGTTAATGCATGTATCAAACTTAGCTTGGGAGTTTTTTGGATCCTCTAAACCGTCGAGGAAAAGATAGTTTTGGTGGCTTGCATCCTCAGAGATGTTTAGCTCAAAAACTTGCACTGGACTGATGATTAGAAGTCCACTGTAAGCTTTCGAGCGAAACATATCTGAGAGTGCATGCGAAACGTCACTTTATGTTTATTTTTCAGTATAGCCCGAAAAACTCTACAGTTTCAAGCAAAGCCTCTTTAAGTTCCGATAGCGTTTTTATATTAGTAGTCTAGAGAACATAATAAGTAACTAAATACTGTATTTTGACGACTCAAATCATCGACTCATTCATTTTTTTAAATTATATTTATATTTATAAAAGTGATGTTTTTCGGCCCTATTCCTCGGAAACATATCCAGAAGCTCTGGATGTTTGTAGTTCAGTCCAAATAATAAGTTCAACATTAGCAAGTACCTCTCTTATCAGCCCAGCAAAATGAAATATGTTCTCAATCGATCTGAGTTTGCAAAGCAATCTAAATACCTCTATTAGAGCGCGTACACTAATTATATAAAATTTGTACATATTTATCCATATTTTATAACTGATTTTTTAGTAGTTTATGCATTAATATTAATCTATTTGCGTCTTTTAGGCACAATCTCACACTCACTATATTCTCTAGACAAGTATAAATATAGAAACGCCAACCTTTACATTTAAAACTGCACTTTGTATCCTTTATTAATATTTATTTTACCATCGGAATTTCGCCGGAACCAAAGAAGTTGAATAAGAACCACTTAAATCTACAATACAAGCCAACAAACATTAATTGCTAGTAATATGATAATGTCTTTGCAAAAAAGTAAAGAAGCAAAAACATTTCAAAAAATTACTGCAAAATACAACTCAGACAGGGTTCTGTTATGTCTACGAAAATTATTTGTATTCATGTATGATTTTCGCTATTATTGTTCACAAATATTTATAAGAAACGCGGTTTTTACAAGTAGAAAATCTTTGTAAATTTAAACAAGTGCCAACATGTTTTAATTGAAATATTTAGCTCTAGTTAATAGTCTGCCAACTGGCCCAAGAACTACTATAAAATCATGCTAAGATCAAAGTGTAAATTGCATCAACAACTAAGTTCAAAATTTTCCAAGTTTTTCGGTTTTCATTAGTAATCATTTGAACGGAATGGCGACAATTTTGCTCATTTTATATGATCAATATATGGAAAGTGAAAAGTTGAAAAATTGAGTTTACTTCTTCAAGATACTTACTCTTGAAGATAAAAATATAAAATGTTACAAAAAAATGCAAAATTTTTCATTGTTTACTTTGTTTTTTGGGCAAATTACGCTTACTTCATTTTTTTAATGAAAAATAGCGGTACCTATCCATCCATCTAACCAGGCAAATATTTGTTGGCAAATCTCACGCAATTTATCAACTTTGCATATCTGGTGCAAGACTATGTTTCTTAAGGTGACTAAATAGATCAAATAATATTATGTACAAAATAAATATATAATATGTACAAAATTGTTTTTTTCCATCCAGGAAAAGTTGTGGAAGCGTGGGGAATTTGCAACGATTAAGACAATTTTGAGTTTGATCCACATGAATAAGCACTAACTCAGTAACGGAAACCAATTTCTAGGTCTTGCGCCGCTTGTTTTGATTTTGAACTTTTAAACAAGCGCTTTTAAAGAAGCTTTAAAAAAAGTTTTTAAATACTTTTATTTACATCTGCACATTAAAATATTATTACCAAATTTATTATTTAATTGTTGAAAGAATCCCGATTCCCAATTCCCTAGTTATTTTTTACAGAATATATACCTGAAAAGAAACAGCGCCATTTTTTACACCCCCGTATCTACATGTAGATCGAAAAACACGTTATCACATTAAGTGGCAAAAGTAAAATAATTGAAATTATATGTTTTAAGAGTAATAGGGCATATATGAACTGTCGTTAAAGAACTAATAAAAAGACGATAACAACCGTTTGAGTCTAATTGCATTGACGAAGGGTGGTAAATAGGCTGCGAGACGGCAAATGAAGGGAGAAACCCTTAACCGTAGTCAATAAAACGCAAAAAGAAGTAAATCTTACCTTCTGATAGACAAATGGTCTGGTTAGAGCAAACCATCTCTCTAGAGCCATGATTAAAGCCACAGTTCCTGAACCCAAACCAAATCCTCGAAGTAAGACTAGAGCTGTACATGTCCAGTATTTGGGCAATATCTTATATCTATTTACATTTGTGAAAACTAACATCCCAATAGCAGCAGTCAAATCATTCACAGCCAACCATCTAAGCATGAGAACATGTTTTTTGTTTCTTCTTTTTGCTGTTGGGTGATTAGCTGATAAAATAACTAATGCTATCGAATTGCCCACAATTCCAATAACAAAAGATATTGTTATCAAGACTTGAAAGCCTACACTGGACATTGGCTGAGGTGATTTTACTTCTGTAATATTCATGATGATTTTGAATGCAAGTTCTATTCGATAGATAGATAATCAGCTGCAAAACTCAAACGTTACACCTTTGGATAACACATGATATTGCCGAGAAACTGAACTATCCGTAAGAAATCCGTACTTCAACTGCGATCGCCGGCACGAGGAGCAGCTTTAGTGCAGTCGGATTTTTTCGAACCTGCAACAAAAGAATTTTTTATATCACATTAGAACCTAAATCAACTTAATTAGATAAATATGTTTATCACTTTAATGTATATCTACTAACTGATTGTCAAATTACATGTTTACTTTCAGTTACTCTGATAGAAATAGTGTAGTTTTCGAATGTGGTCGGAAAGTAGGACTCGAACATTTTATTATCAAATGTCTTCAATTTCGTACGTTAAGCTTATAAATGCGTAATAAATATGGAAAAATTGTCTCAGTTTCAGTTCATCTCTTGCAGCGGGCGTTTTTTGATTAATATCAATCACTTATAGGTACTGCAAAAATAAATAATTTACTAATAACTCCTGATTTAATTTAGTATTATGGCATGGTATTTGTGCTGTAGTTTGCGCTAGCAGACACTGTTTTTTTAAATAAAGTATTTGTTTTATTCAAGTCTAAATTAATTTATATTTGAATTTTTATTAATAATAAAAATAGTTTCATGTAATTATTAAAAACCTCTATTTGCAGACATTAGAAGTCAAAATTATAAACATTAGCCAAACCACGTCTTAGTCAAATGGTCATTATATCCGTAATATGGAGCTTCTAATTTAAATCTACAGAGTGTAACATAGAGTTTGAGAATAAACGAAACAGTGAATTTGTTAATAGAAAATTTCTGAAGTGATAACTTCTAATGGCACGGTGTGAATGGATTGGAATGCGTTACGGCGCCGTTATTTCTGGCAAAGATAAAGGCAAGTACGCAGTTCTCTCGTGCGCCCGCGAACGTGTTAATAATAGTGTGTAGTCTGTGGGCCGATGTCCTTTGGATACGTTTTCCTCCGAACTGCTTGCGTCAGAAATCATGCGAAAACGAGCTAATGATGCAATTTCATTGCAACGTACTGAAGCTCGTCCACCAGACCCGAAATAATTCGTACGAATTCGAAGAAACCATTGTAAGCAAAATTGAACTTTAGGCCGGTCGTCCTTTGGAAGGATAGATTGATTGATATAGTCAACGAATACGTTTACCTGGTACATAAATAAAACTCGGAATAGAAAACCAACAAGCAGAAATCAGAAGAAGAATTCGTATGACTTGGGCTGTCACAGGAAAACTAGGCAACACACTAAAGAATAAAGTTAGTCCGATCACCCTAAAGGCCAAGGTCTCTACGTCCTATCAGTAATAACTTACCGATTGGAAACAACACTCACAATCAGAACAGCAAGTAAACTTAGATCAACACTACGCGCAATAGAGAGTCTTATGCCCTGAATTATCCTCCAGGACCACATCAGCAATGAGGAAATACACCCTCAAACAAGACAGAGGACGCAAGATGGACAAGGCGCCCAATACAATGGAGACTTAGGTTACAAACAAGAAGCGTAGGTCGACCTCCCAAACGATGGCTGGAGGACAAAGAGACTCCAGGCAGAAACTGGCATCAGAGAGCAGGAAATCGAGAGGGATGGAAGGAGCTTGGAGTGGCTTATGTCCAAGAGTGGATAGTGAAAGGCTGCTGAAGAAGAATAATATATTAAACAATAATATACAGTATGTTAGATATACAGTAAATACTATTAGCAGGCCGAAAATTGTGGAATGGGGTGTGCCACAATGCACCGTTTTGTTGGTCCTATAATTTTCGTCATTTACATTAATGTTCATTCCGGTCTTGATGTGAGGAGAAGATCGTATCTTCTCGTCACATGACCAATGGTTAAGTGACCAAACGAAGTTTTTATATTAATTGACAAATATTTCAAATGGGATCAGCATGTGCTCTATTTGTGCAGAAAGATTAGGTGTCTAATGGTAAAATTTTATATGAAAAAATGGAAAGCTCAATGATTGGATTGAGTTTGAGAGATCACGTCACAAAACACGAGCTGCGGTCAAAAACCGTCGATTAATAAAAATATTAAAGTGGAATGGGACAGGACACGTGGACAGAATGGGCGGGGACGACAGATGGACAAAGAGGTTGTTGCAATGGAGGCCTCGCACCGATAAACTAAACGGAGGAAGACCATCCTTGTCCCGATGACCTGAAAATAATTGCAAAATGGATCCAGGCAGGTCGGCAGTGAACGTTCTAAAGGCTGCTTGATGATGCTGATCGTACAAGTTCGACTTCAAAAGCTTCTTTATAAAGCCGTGCAGCAGCTTTTGCATAGCAAGTTGTGGCTTTAAACGCTAGATGCATATCTACAAAGTTTCTGTAAACAATTTCTGTTTGATTCACGCAATTTAAGAAATCTCTTGTGAGTCGTAATTGTTTGCAACATTTTTCATGCATACTGGCATACTTGACATTCCAATTCTTCATTTGCTGCCTCAACTTTAAACAACTACGGCTTGAAAAAACTGTTGATAAATGACCCTTTTGCTTCTCTCGCTTTATATTATATTAGGATAGGATAATTTATATTATGCTAAAGGGCCAAAACTGCCAATAGGGAAGATTTAGTGGACTAAATGTGAATTTTTCACTTCAAATTTTGTAAATTTCCAAAGAAACTAGTGTATTCGAAAATTTTCAATTTGGCTTTTTCGGTGCAACTAGTGCAAATAAATATTAGGTTTATAGTGCATTGCGAATTATTAAAGTGCCAATGAAAATTATTGTCATGTTCCAAATCAACGATTTTACGGATCCATCAAGATAAGATAATACACTGATTATTTTAAGCTTTAACTGATGGATAAATAAAAATCATTCAGAGAGATCGGAATATCTTTTGCGTTCTCAGAACATATTACCTTCTTTACCTACTACTGCTCTAAGGTTTATACCAAACACCATCAATATACTCAATTTTTTAAGATCACCACAGTTGATTCCAAATCGTCTTAATCTGTTGCTATACTTAAAACATTATTTAAAACTACTGACAAATAAATATTCTCAATATATCTCGTTCGTCTCCGTACATGATAATTCCGTATCTTATTGACGAGTCAAAATTTAAATATTGCGTACTTTTTCTGGTGCTTATACTTTCATGTCTACTTAAAATTCTTAGTGCGTAACTAACCGAAATTTTTGTCGTTGGGTAAGTACTGTATGTGGGGTTCCAAAAACATCAAATTATTTCAATGAAACTTTGATATTTAATAGTGCTTTATAAATCTACAGTTTTCAGCTAAATCACAGTTTTCGTCAACCAGACTTGCTTTTTTAATCTAACGATTTATTAACTCCGTTACTTATCGCTACTATTTACTTCCTATCAGATGAGTATGATTTAACACAATTTAATGTACTCGTAATTCCCTCTATTCCATACATGTTCGATTTGAACATTGCTTATCAGAGGTTAAGGTTTCATATGATTTTTATAAATATATAACTAGACCCATGGGAACGTTCTTTTCCTATCATATCCAGTTATTTGATTGATAGGTAATTGATCATGTAGTTTTTATTCAGTTATCTGAATTTTTAATTTGGTCTGCGTATTTTTCTGCAACCTCTCAGTATTTAGACATATTGTTTTTATCCGCTCTTGTCCAAACTCTCCTCTTTCAGTCAGAGTCAGGTATTTAGATTTCCCTACATATTCATCAGTACAGAAAAGCCCAAATCAAAAACCTCTTTATTAGATGATTCCATTGCAATGCAAATAAATGTTTTGCTGAGTTTTCGATCAAATATACAGTGTAAAGAAACCGAATGGTTTTTAGTAAGCCACTAAACACATCCAGAACTTTAATATCGAACCTACATGGTTGAGACCAGGGCAACATTACATAAATTTGTATGACTTAAGTACCTAAATACTAGCAGACCAAAATAGTGACATAATTTTGGTTCAGGTTCAATAATAACAGAATGGAGGAAAAATTTGTACCCGGCATTGGCTTATGGATTGGCCATAACTTCGATTTAGGAACCAACCAGACCATGGCAAATCAGCAGAATTTGAATTGGTTTCAGATAGAATATATATTATCTGTATTACTGTCTTATGGAATTGAATGCAACAACTAGAATTTAAACGTGCCGCCTATATAGGAAAGCTCTAGTAACAACTCTTTGTCCTTTGCAAAATTGCAAGGTGGAGATTTTCAACATTTATTAAAGAGACAAAATTGTTTTGCTTAGGTTTCTTTGTAAGCTTCATGTTTATTATTTTTATTTTTTTCAACGCTTAGTCAAAACATTTATGTTATTTAGATGTATGTACGGACCGAATTGAAAAGTGTGATTTTACCTACAGTTATTTTAACTATATCTCCATTTGAAAAGCAAACAAAACAGGCTGTTAATTCCCCTCGTAGACGTTTCACTTTCATGTTCATGTCTGGGAAACTATTTGCAGAACGCAACCCTTCCGACTTAAAACCCACACCCGTTTAAAACGCAGAATAATTTTTTGGCCTATTTGTAATTTCAAAAGACAACAGACTTTCGACAGAAACCAACCACATCATCAAAAGAACAAAGAAAGAAATATGGTTTCCAGTGTTCGAACGCGTCTCAATAGCTGAAGCATTCATTGCCAAGAGTCTGAATCGAAATCTTTGAAACTGTCACTGCTTTAAGTTAAAGTGAAGTAAAGTAAAGTAAAATTGAAAAAAAAAACTGTATTTTTTAATAAAAAGAATGTTTCATCGTTGATATTGCAGCATGGTACAATGTATTTAAAACCTTGTTCAGGAACATAAATAAGACGTCGTGATCCTAATACATTTGCAAATTGTGCTGAAAAAAATGGGGAAACAGTAAAGGAAATACTCCATCACAAATCAATGAAAGAACAAAAATGAAGAAGTGCAGATAAATATTGAGATGGAGATGAAGAAGGAAAAGTAAAGAAACTTGCACAATGACATGTTCTGTACATTGTCCTAAATACTTTGCTGGAAACAAACATGTTTCTACTACATTTGCAATTTATCCTTAAAGCAATATAGAAACAGTCAAGGAAATGTTTCTTCCATCCCTGACACAGCAGTGAACAAAGGAAAATAAATACGGGACTGACAAATGAAAAAATTTATTGAGAAGGAAACGTAGAAGGCGAACGCGCAAAGATGATGGCACAATTACTCAAATTATTTACATCAACTGGTTCACTGGTAACTATGAAGGAAAATATAGAAGCAGACAAAGAAAATGAAATCGCATAGGAAATGAACATAAGCAAACGTCATGTTTCAAAGGAAGAACATGTTTTTCGGTGAAAAGAGAGAAATAAAAAACGGGGAAGAAAACAGGAAGTTATGAGTCAATTATGCATACTTGTAGATACATATGTTGGCAAAGTAGCAGTAAAATAGTTAATCTGAAGTTAGAAAAAGGTCATTAATTTTCAATTACTATGGTTCATTGAGATTTTTTTTTTATTATAAAAATAGAACCAATTTTCCTTGCAACTGCTGTAAAAATAGTATATAAATTTAATCAATAATCGCTAGCATACGACAAAGATCGTTCGATGACGAAACCACGTTTTCTCTAACAATAAGGGGAAGTAAATGTACAGGGTGCGTTAAATTCGAAAAACTGACAAGAGCGTGCACAATTTTGCGCTCAACAAAAATTTTGCAAATCCCAACTTCTAGGAGATAAACTTGGGCAAAGTCCACATTTTTTAAATGGTTTTATTTTTTTATTTTGTAATATAAAATACATTTATGGCTACTTTCGCCTATATAGGATTTGATAATGCTAGATGTCTCTAAATGCCTATACCATTGTATGAAAATATCAGCTACCTTCATAAAAATACTATAATACTACAGTTCCATGTTAACATAAATTAACATTTTTTAGAACAAAACGGTACTTCTAAGGGGCCTTAGATCTGGAAATTGAATTGATTCATGGGAAATTCGATTTTATTTAGATTTGTCTGAATCTCCAAAATGCAATTGTAGCATAACATGTATCTATCTCTTATGATTTTTTAAATAATGAATCAGGTCTGTTTCAAAATCTTTAAAAATCTAAATAAAGATGTTTACATGCTCCGTAATAAATTTCTAGAAAATATATTGTTCAGATTAAGCAATATTGTGGCACAATAAATTACAGGCCGTAATATCAATAATATGTCTGCCTGAATCAACAGCAGCATCTAAATGTCTGAGACAAAATAAAAAATATATACGTAAATGTAGATGGCTATTAAAATGTATTATTATTTTGGAGCTATTTTAACCTTTAATGAATGTACTCCAAATTAAGCCAACTTAAAACGCCTTATTAAAATATTGCTATTTAGAAATCCGCGCTTAAAATTCCTGCAAGTAGCAAAATAGATGGGTAAAAAACTGAACAATTTAACAGTCGGACTAGTCAATTAACTGAACAACCTTAGATTATTTTTGGTGGGGTTACTTCAAATGGAGATCATACGTAAATCTATTAAATACACTGGAAGAATATAAATCCAGTGTATGAATTGACAATAAAAAAACTGAAAACACAACATAAACACATTCACCAAAAAGTAAAAGCAAAGCAGACCATTACAAAATTCTAATGAAAAGATAGAAAATATTTGAAAAATTCGTATTAACGTAGGTATTTAAGAGTCGGGATGGTTCGAAAATCACTTGTTCTTTATATAGTTCGCTTATCCAAAAAACATTCAATCCTTTGAACTTTTAGCCATTTAACATGCAGCAGACCAGACTAATCATATAAACGAACTAGTTAATAAAAAATTGCTGAAACATTTACACCTATGTAATTTTCCGAATATTGTTATTCCTTGCAAGTAGTTAAGTATATTAATTCAGGAACCATTTCGCTTTTTAAATGATCAGATATCCAGTAACTCGTGAAACTGGAGATCTAGGATTTATAAACCAAATAATTAACGTGTGGATATTTCTCTAATTCTAACCAATATTTACTAACATCCCGATTCATTTTTACACAATGTAACTTTTATATTGACATGCTAAATGAATGAGAGTTTTTAACTTTAACTTTTAAAGTTATTCATTCTCAAGTGGATAGTTTTATGTATTAATCGGCATATTAACATTTAGATCTATTTGAGCAAATTTTCGTTTACATTTTCCATATTGACGGTTCTTCAAAATATGGCATATATTTTTATCAGAAAGAATCATCGCCGACGGCTTGTGCATATTAAAGTGCATTATTGTAGTCCTCTCTTGTTAAGGTGCAACTAGTGATATTGACTTTATAGATATCCCATTGGTGATGGATTACAATGAGGAACGTAACATTTTGGAGCGTCATAATCATTCTAAACGATCTATTATAATTATTCGCATTTTAAATGTATGGCCAGTCTGCTGCTTTAAATGGTTATGATTAAACAAGGTGGTCTGCGCTGTTATTAAAATGAGCTTACCATACTTTAGTTGCGCGTCATAAGTTATTATTTTTATTACACACTATTTGCTGCTCAATATACAGCACAGAAAATACACTAATTGAAACTAGCTTTTTCAGTTTCTGCTATATTGAATTTGGCTTTTGTCACATCACTTTTTTTTACTTGCACCCTTATTTAATTGCACTCTTCAATAAACATTTTGAACAACATGCGGATGAAGCAGATATCAATACATACATTATGTTCGATTGAAAGCTATGTTTTAATGGAAAAGTAAAGATATTTTTTGGAAAAACTCAACTGCAAGCGTTAGGTAGGCATTTGGCAAGGTAAATTTTTAGCTTGGATATTATTAATAACCTTTACGCATTTCCTTCTCTTTATCATGTTTGCTCCACCGTACTTCCGAAATTGAAGACAATTGGCACATTAAATGTGATTATTAAAAACATTTTATTAATGACTAGCAAATTCTGCTGCTATTTTCAAGGGCTTAGTTAAGGCTTAAGGCATGCTGAATTGGGAACATTTTAATGCAGACAGTTAATATGTTATTATATGAAAATATATTCGTTTATATATTTGATGTAATTCGACTCACTTACGCACATTCAAGAAATTTTTGGTTATAATTTTTCATTAATCTGTGTGATTTTTCGCAATGAATATGAAGAATTAAAAACTAGATATACTTAATTACTTACCAGTTAAAACACCTAGACCTACTCCAACTTTTCAGCGAAGATGACCGGTCTTCAGCGAAACTTGGAGAGTCTACTCACACTCCAAAGCACAAACAAAAGAGTATCGTTAATTTGTAAATAAAATTATCTCCTCTCAAGTGTCTCCTCCTTCCACGTGAAGGCCGCAACCCAATCAGCAGGCGCAAACACTTGCCGGTTATACATGGTGTTCCAAATTAGTGGGCTCAGGTGCAAAACTGCGTTTCGCGACTCCGTTTTATTTTGGAAGCTGCCCATAACATAAAGACTATTTCGAATATATAATAGCTGATTGTTAACCTTTAAGATTTCTTAAATAATTATTACTACTACAGTAATTAAAACTGTTAATGAAAACTATTTAAGTTTCAATAGTTAACAATATTGAAAATGCCTTTATTATGTTGTCGTGAAATCTGCCTGGTACTTCCAAGGAATTATTGAGATGTGCGTTATACGGTGCACTTAGAAAACGTGTCAGCAAGTTATATGGAAAATATAGCCAAAAAGTACGTTCCCTGCATGTAAATGGTGCGGTTTATTTATTCGAATAACAAGGAAAGGATCCATTATTGTTGGTGATCGATCGTCAATTTGCAATCGGTTTTGGCTAGTGGTGCTTCTACAGGATATTGTTAAATACAGGGATCTCATTTTTATGTAGCTGCTTTCATCGTTTTAATTACTATAATAGATGATTTGACTTAATTTACACTACTCAATCACGATGCACATTTCATGCAATTATGTTTTGGGAACCATTCAGGGTGTGTCATAATAGCATATCCATATTAAAGTGAGCGAACCTGACCAGGCTTTAAAGAAACCAAATTATTTAATGTCGGTCTGCAAACGCTTCGTTTCCAAGCTACAGAGTGTGAGAGTTTCAGCAGATTTCCATGTACTCAACTTATAATGGTTGTTAAAATACACAAAGTGTCTTTTTGAGTTTTTCTGGGAAAGCATCGGTTTTCTTACGTAAAATTTATGATGCGACATCGTTTATTAACAGAAATTGTCTTTCTCGTACAATTCAGATACCTTTTAGCCCCTGTATAATTTCTCTTGAACAACATTCTTTCCCCAATTTGCCAACATACAATTTGAAGAATTATTTGCTACAGCTAAGACCGTTGATTGAAATATTGGAAAAAAGTAGGATTAAGAAGCATAATTGACTTGGCATACATTTTCAGTTCGCAAAGTAAACTTATAATGCATGTTCTATATTATATTTTGTATGAAACGGCCAAGGCTTTTTAATGATATCTAAGTTGGAATTGCTTGTATGTACTAAATCTTATTACATCTACATACTTTGTTCTGAGTTAGTTACGTTACGTTAGTTAAGCTTACAAGTGAACATAGTCATATAAATATGCTTTGAGCATTTCAGAAACTGCGMAAAAATAAGTAATTTCTGCASACGATTTTRAGCATGCTTGTTYGTGGTATTTSGGAAGAAATCATATTAARCAAGGAAACTTCTCCTGATGAAAGATCTATCCTTGAAAAGTCAGAAAAAAAGTCGCTCTAAAGCCAATGATTTTGCATAAAAATAGGATTTTGCAGACTTGAAATCAGTTGAGAAACTTGAAAGTCATAAGGGTTGAAGGTCGAAAGGTCGACTTTTTAATAGGGATATTATCAAAGTTTTCTTCGTGGATTTAAGGTCGCATTTTTTTGGAAAAACAGCTTTTTGTATGGAGAATTTTTTTGCGTAACTGTTAATATCGGGCCGATTTGCAAATTTGTTGAAAAACGTACGCTTCTCYATAAAAGCTGCATCTCGGAAAATTKRAGTCAGTTGAAAAACTTGGAAGTTATGACGATTTTAAGATCGAAAAAACGATTTCCCGAACAAAATACTTTGAATTTCTAATTCATTCGATTAACTCATTTTCAAAATAGAACATGAGATTGTTTGAAAAGTGTATTCTCGACACATTCCCTGTCCATAAAGGWTTTTGTATTTGTAACAGTTTGGAAGGAAATAKGCTCCGAATATTGGTAAGCGTAAAACTCTCCAACTTGTACATACCTCCACTCTTTATCCTGGAACTCGATCAGATATCAACATTTTTCAGAAATTCAAAAACTCTTMAAAARYCCATAGACTTGGCGTAAAAACTTGTTTCAGGGCCAAAGTWCCTTTTGATCACCATTTCAGTCCCAGGGGAGTTTAAAGACCTGAAGCGCTGGTTGTTCCTGGAAACACGCTCTTTTGCTACGCAGTTTTGCGTTTGGAAAGTTTGGCGGCGCATCCAGATTTTTTTACCCCAAAATGTATTTTTAGGCGCAACAGAAAAGTTTTTAAAAAATTTGGAATAATTTAGGAATTTAATTTAGGAAATTTTCCAATTTTTGAAAATTACAAATCTGCAAATTTTTCACCTAAGAGCCGAATTTAGACCAAAATGCCACTTTTCAATATCATCGTTTTTGCATATAGTTACGGAAAAAATGGAATTTGGAGTTAGAGAGACTTAAACTGCCTTTCACATTGTTTGCACACTTATTTGCCCATAACTCCGCAACTGTTGGAAATATTTGAAAACGAAAAATGTACTGGGTTGCCACGGGTATTCTCTAGAGTTCGGCTGTCTTGACAAAGACTTGTCCGACCCTGGCAATTGTTTGGGAGATAATTAATACTGAATGTTGACAACCGTTCGACTGTCTAATTTGCACACACCTTCATTCTTTTGCCCGTAACGTCGTTAGATGTCAATATATTTCAAAAGTTCCAAAACCACCAAAAAGCCCGAAGAAGTAGCTATAAAATCTATTCCAACCTCATATTGGATAKCGGCAACAGCAAAGGAGTAAGTAAAACGAGTACAAACTCAGAGAGCGTRCAACCTTTTGAAAAACTAATTTTGAGAAATGAATATTAGCTGAAAATGTTGACATTTATGAAGACGTTAATGCGGAATAGACGATTTTCCAAGCAAAATATTCTCGGTCAAAAAATTAGCAGTGCCTTTAAACCCGAATACCTGAGTTTTTGGAAGAATATATTTTTTTGCCTACAGAGGCTCCTTTTTTAAATTCCTCCTAAGTGTCTTTCTTCGTGTGTACATAATAAATAAAGTAATATTAAATTGCAGCTACATTTTTCGAAAGAAGATCATCTCTAAACTCAATCGAATAATTGTGTTTGCTAGAATGGGCCGTTAGCTCTAAAGTGCCTTTCTTTCATCAATCAGTCATGTTCTAAGCGTGGCGACAATATTCAAATTATAATTCAAATATTTACATATTTAAAACTGTTGATAACAATCGGTTAGAATTAAGGACAAAATCACTCAATAATTCAATTGAAGCGTGTCCTGACTGAATCTCTATTACATGACCGCCCCTGACTTGAAAGCTGGATTCGCCCTTGTGGAATACATGTGAAAAAAAGAGCCCGCCCGTAGTTGATGATGAGGAAGTGTTTTAAGAAATATGTCAAAATTCAACCACATCAATACAAGCGATTGATCATCGGATAGCCATTCCAAAAACAATAACAGACCGTTTTTACGAAAGACTTTCAATTCAGTATATATTTTTGCATACGAATGTTACGAAAAATACGCTTAGATCCAATTTTTTTATGCTACCCTTTGAACAGACAAGTCTTCATGCAAGCGTGGTGTTCTTTTCAACATGCATAACTTTTATAGTTGGTAAATGGAGAATCTGCATGCTATGAAAGAAAATAATTGCAAGCATCAAATTTAAATTCAACATTTGGACATGAACACATTTTATTTGCATTTTTGCAAAATCACCTTTCAGAATTACTTGGACGTCAAAGGCGTATGTTGTGGCCAACACGTTCGCCGGATTCAAATCCACTGGAGTTTTGTATTGGGGTTGTTTGAAAGAAAACGTTTACCTACTTACGGCCAGCCGACACTCGCAGATCGAGGCCACTTTGAATATTTATTTTAAGTAAAGTTTTTTGCGTTATTTAATAATAATAGTGTAATATTTTTATTTCATTGTTACATTTTTTATATAAGTACATACATATATTAAAAAATAATATTGTGATTCAGTTGCAGTTGTAATAAATATCTACGAGAGACTATTTCTCCCCATAAACGGCTTTCAACAACTTTACGTTTTTGGGGCAACGGGAAAAAACTTATAACATTGGCTTCACCATAAGCACTTCACCAGATTATTCCCGAAACCCTAGACTATTTAAATTATGCTTCTTCAAGATGCCAACTTGCACAAAAGCCCATTTTATTCCTAAACAGGAATTCTATAACTAAAACTTTGATCAGTCCTGTTTCCTCCGTTGATTTTTTGAAGTATTAAGGTGGTTTCATCTAGAGTTCCTTCAGCATGTCAGCGTGAATGGTGGCGTTACAGTTTTCGAAACTTGTTTAAATCTTGCCACGAAATTAAAATCTGCGGATGCTGCTTAGCAGATGTTTGTTTCAAGCATCGTTAAACAGATTGCTGCTATTTTATTGCTATTGAATTTTACATTATTGCGTATTCTCGTTTATGTTTATGTCTACCATAATCAATTGAATGATCCATCATCTCCCCTATTTAGCATTGTTGTTCTCGAGCAAATATTAAATATAAGACCCATAGAATCAAAGTGCTGTTCAATTTAACAAGAAGTATTTGGCATAGCATAGTAGCATTTAATACACTTTATTTCACAAATGAAGTGCCTCGGGGATGATGTTGATAGAATGCTTGCTTCCTGTTTGGAGCTTTAAGGAGTATTTCACCCTTTATACAGCCAATGGATATTTAAACCGCTTGCGGTGCAACTTTACTAATAAAACAACCGGTAACACAACCAATGAGCAAAATCGTAGCTGAAACTGGAAGAACTGGAGATTTTAAACGATTTTACTTACATATTTGAGAATTTGATTATCTGAATTATGTTATAGATGTTTAGTATTTTTATTTGCTTTTCATCACCCTGTGTCGACGAGTTCCGTTTTATGAAAAAGCTCGATACGATTATTTAGCAACCCACATTTTTTTAAATGTAACTAGCATGCTATTGCTCTGGTTGCTATAAGCTATATATATGTGGCATGCTATATGCTATAAGAAGGATATATAGTCGCCTCTAATGCTACATCGCTTCGGAACATAAAATTATTATTATATAGCACGTATATGATTTGATAATTTACCTCAAAAAGTAGATAAGTACTTATTTTTAACCTGTTGTGATATTGTGCTAGATACTAGCTTACTACATGAATCCACACACATTCTCCGATTTATATTTGAAGTCTTCAATGAACCTCATTATATGTCCGTCGCATTTTCAAAATACGCTTTAGATTCTATACTTAGAAACACAGCGTCAACTAAAAATAAATGAATATTCCCTTGGTTTTCCTCATTTTCGCCATGTAGGTAGAAGTACATCTACCTTTATATGTATATGTGGCTTTCAGATATACACTGATTACTTGGTTGTGATATGGAAAGAGTTCACTAGCCTGTTGAAGAAGTTTTGTAACATGTAAGTTAAATAAGTTGATTATCGTAAATTAGGCACATACACGTGGAATAACCTAACATTATTATTTTTGGAGTGGATATTTTATGGATTTTTACGATGCTAAACATCGTAAAAATGTATTTCATGCGTTTTTTGAAGTTAGTAATTCAAAATAATAGTATTTCATATTCTGTATTTTTATATCCCCATAAATTCATAAATATTTTAAAAACTGTACTCATCTAGGCAAAACATATTTTTTTAATATCGAGACATTTCTGCCGAATCAAGGTTTGGTTTTTTTTTATTATGGTACATGATGTAGTAATATAGTAAAATTACCACACATTGAGTTCGTCAAGTGTACAGCAGAAATAAAGTAAAATTAATCGTCAATATTCCAAACGAATACATAGAAAATAAATACATAAATTTAAAAGAATCAGATGCCATCGGAAATTTATAATTAGGGAAAACGTATACCTACTTCATCAAGCTGCACTGATATCAAGAAAGTACTCAAATAATTGGTTTAATAAAACTTTTCAAATGCTCATATTCAAGTTAAAGTTTTAATCCGATGCTTAAGATGTCAGTTAAACTATTGCTATTTATGTGACTAATTGACTTATAAGAATAAGAATAATACATGCAGGATGAAAAGTTATTCTTTGTTTATATAGTTGTTACTCAAATTCGAGAGCCTGCGATAAATCTCGTAAAAATTAAAAGGCACTGTTGAATTATCACTGTTCATACAACAGTGGTAATCCATTAGATGCGAAATTCTTCCAAAAAAATGTAAATTGTAAATTTAGTGTTATATTAAATAAATCTTAATGAACTTACAACAATGGATGTTTAAAATTTATCAGTAAACATGTACACTTTTTAAATTAAGTTACTTTGTTTAGTTATAAATGACCTTATCATATATTAGGACATTGCAGTTGTGACATTTAATTTTCTTATCTACAAGATATGCACTGATAGGAAATAGTGCTTATATATAAATGGCATCAAATTAACATATGTTCAAAATGACTACCTTTTTTTTCAAAACTCTCTCACACGATCTGACAACTTTTCGAATGTGGTTAGTGGTGAATTATTAACGACTTATTTTTGACATCATGGTAAAAAATAGTTAAATAGTTTGGTGGAGTCAAATCGGATGATGGTTGAAGCTATTTTTTGAAGCGAATCAACCGGCTTTCTTATAATGTTCCTGTGATCAGTTGACTAATGGTCAATATACCATCTCACAGATTAACTGATCCTATATTGGATAATAAGCTAAAATATTTAAAACATTTCTGTGCATTAACTAATTTATTGTTATAACATGTTTTTACTTTCTGCAACCTTATTGATAACATACATACAAAAGTCAATCTCTTTTTCAAAACATTTCTTCAACATTCTTTAGTCGATTTAATTTTTAACTTTAATTTAAAACTATTTATCCTTCAACTATTTCCTTGGTCAAGCTAGTATTCCTTTTTTTATACTACATATTGCATTGCAGAATACTTTAAAATTAATCATAACTCACATATTAGGTAGATTTATAATCAAACTACGTAGTTTTTCGTATCAATTTATTTTATCTGAAATCAGATTTAATGCTTATTTTTCTTAAGTAGATATCGTAGATTATTAGTACAGTTAGCACTGCTTCTATCCCTTTGTAGTACGCAGCAACTGTTCACAGATGTTCGCTTAGCAAAGATATACGTTTTAAACTTCGTGAGCTTCTAAGATGCTTAAATTTATTATTCTACCTGTACGAGATTCGGAATTTGCGATAAAGACTAATTAATGAAGACAATGCTGTTTGCCTTTCTTCTTCTGGTCCTTTCTGCTATATAACGTCTTTTAAACTTCAATCTCTTTAGGGTTTCCGAACTTCTAACAAAACTTGATTAAGTATAGGTCTCCATACAGAATTTTAAAATGAATTGCCGTTGGCCTCTCGAATCTGATCAATCCATCGGGGTTGGTGAGCGCCCTTTGGATCTTTGTCTCTTTACGGTTCCCGAAACTGTTAAACTCTTCAGATTATTATCGTCTCTTTGTGCAAGGTGTCAAAAAAATATCACGAAGCCTGCAAGGTAAATGGAGCGGGGGATGATCTGGATGTTCCATGGAAATGGAAATCCATTCTGAGCATGCACCTCCAGCATCAGATTTCAAATGCAATAAATTTTCTTCTGTCTGCTGATTTAATTGTTTAGGAGTGGGACTCATATCCAAAAGCGCAGAAAATTAGTGAATTTGTATTGTGAGCTGTACCAGGGGCGGATCCAGCTTTAAATTCA